CCTCGCCCTGGCCAGCCCCACCCCCAGCTAGGACCCGGACCCTAATCTGAGGTCCCCATCAGGGCAAGCCGGACAGCCCCCACCCATGTACCAGGCCTCTAACTTATATAATAAAAGGGTAATATACAAATTGACCCTAAGAGCAAAACGACTAGAATGACCTCGATCAGTCACTTATGAGCTATACTGCTGGTCCCTTTCCCTAGCCAGCAGGCTCTGATCACCAAATGGCGAGCAGGGAACCTGGGATGGGTGACAGGGGATGCAGGTGGTGCCAGGCCAAGGCCCTACTTCACCAGTCACCCCCCATACAGAGAGCAACCCATGGTGGGGATGGGGCCGGTAGGCGGGCAGAAATGGCCGACCTCTTGGTGCCTTTTCCCAGCCATCAGTCTCCGCTCACCTGATGCAGAACAGGGAACTGGGGTGGGTGGCAGCAGGGGGCAGGGTTGGCTCTGGGCAGCTGGGGAAGATGGCCCTAGGGACTGTACCCATGCAAGAATTTTGTGCACTGGGCCTCTAGTATGCTAATAATAGGAACATGAGAATATCTAAAGTACTGACAAGCAGAGGCAAGTAAATTTTAAACGTACAGGTGTCCCCACAGGGACAGAACACACTTGAAACCAGGTTCAATGAAATTTGCCATTTAATAACGTTTTTTGTGTTTTGTTTTTTTTTAAAGATAAGAGAACCCAGATCCTCCAACAAAGGAGGCTGAGGTCCCCAGCCCTTTGTCTGTCCTCTCTGGGACATTGAGCTAGCAGGACACAGAAGAGTGCAATAGTCAACCCACAAGTATATCCCCAAAGAGAAGACTGACAGATCTCAGTGCAGGTATAAAGCACTTCAAAAAAAACACATTTTTATTATATCAGAAAAGACAGAGGATATGAGCAAAGCCATCCACAATAAGTATGAGCAAGTAAGATACAAAGAAATGATAGCAACTAGCTATGCAAACAAACAAACCTGAATCCAAAAATCCATAGCACACAAAGAATTATTAAATAAAAGACATATGTGGTAGAAAACAGATCAAGACCATAAGAAAATTCCCATGTCTTTTGGCTACACAAAATAATAACACCATTTTTTTAAAAAATATGTTTTTATTGATTTGAGAGCAAGAGAAAGGGAGAGGGATAGAAAGATAGAAAAGAAACATCCACAAGAGAGAAACATTAATTGGCTGTCTCTTGCCTGCCCCCTTCTGGGAATTGAGCCTGAAACCTGGGCATGTACCCTGACCAGAAATCTAACATGGGACTTCTTGGTTCATGGGTTGACGTTCAACCATTGAGCAACACCAGCTGGGCAAAAACAATATTTTTAAAAAGAGCAAAACGTGTCAAAACTGGTTTGGCTCAATGGATAGAGCATCGGCTTGGGGACTGAAGAGTGCCAGGTTCGATTCCAGTCAAGGGCATGTACCTTGGTTGTGGGCATATCCCCAGTAAGAGGTGTACAAGAGGCAATTGATCGATGACTCTCTCTCATCGATGTTTCTAAGTCTCTATCTCTCTCCCTTTCTCTCTGTACAAAATCAATAAAATATATATTTTTTAAAAAAAGAGCAAAACTAGTATCAAAGATCAAACATGTTAGATATAAGAAAAAGGAAAAAATTAAATGTTGATCTGATTCTGGATTAAATTTTGTACCAGAAAAAAATAAGCTCAAAAGAACATCAGGACAATTTTTAAAAATTAGATATGCACTATGTATTAGAGACTAATATTACATCAATGTTAAATTTCCTAATCTTTATCATTTTACTATGGCTGTGTATGAGAATGTCCTTGTTCATGGGAAATACACCCCAATTTTTTTTTAATAAAAAGATCATGGTATTGATAACTTCCTCTTAAATTGTTCAGGGGGGAAAAAGACGTGTGTGTGTGTGTGTGTGTGTGTGTGTGTGTGTGTGTATGTGTGTGTGTGTGTGTGTGTGTGTGTGTGTGTACAATGAAGGAAAGGACAAACAAGTGGTGGCCTGGATAAAATAATACAGAAGTTCCTTGTATGATTTTTGCATTATTGCAAGTTTCCCTTAAGTTTGAAATTATACCAATGTAAAAAATTACTAAAGCAAGTCAAAGCAATTCCTTTAGAAAGCTAATTTATTAAGTTGATCAATAAGGAATAGACTATAGCCCACTAAAAATTGTAACTCTGACATAGAAGCAACTCTTGAGAGAATCACAGTAAATTCAAAATAAAGTAAAAAAAAAATGGGTTAAATAGTTGAAGAAAATATAAGTAAATGCATTGTACAAAGAGGATCCAACATAAACAAAATAGGTTTCTCAGCAGGAGAAAACCAAATGGAACAGAAAAGCAATTTAAATATACAATAGCAGAAAATTTCTCTGAAAATAAAGAGGAACTTATTTTGCAGATGGAAAGAGAACCCTCTATTTTAAGAAAGGCTGGATTATTAAAACTGAAACAATTCTCGTTCAGTTACTGAATTTCAAAGATATGAATTTTTTTTTTCAAATATCCAGTGAGAAAAGAAGAGAGAGAGAGGGTGAAGTAAAGAATCAAGGTGACCTCAAACTACTTCAGAGGGGAATTCAGGCCCAGAAAATGATGAGTCAGTATATACAGGGTTTAAGATAAAAGGGATCCAGGGAAATTACCCTCAGCCAATTTGCCATTCAAATATAAAGGTAGCAGGCATTCTGAAGCATGAAAGAACTCAAGAAATTGAGCACCATGAGCCTTACTTAGGGGAAAAGCTTCTTGACAATCATATTCAAGCAAACTAAATTTAAAGGAAAACTGCTAAGGGATGAACTAGCACATATTCAGAGACAGCAGACTAGAGAAATGTCTAAGTGCAAGGGGAAAAAATGTGATCCAATAATTTCATATAGCTAACTTGCTATTTAATCATAAAGTTAAAGCACAGACATTCTCATGAAAGCCACAATAAAACTTTCCAGAGAAGAATCAAAATAAAAGGCCCATGCCCTGGCTGGGTGGTTCAGTTGATTCGAGAACCATCCCATACACCAAACAGGCTGCAGGTTCAATTCCAGGTCAGGGCACATACCTAAATTGCAGGTTCAATCCCTAGACTGGGCAAGCATAGGAGGCAGCCAATCATTTCTCTCTCTCTCTCTCTCTCTCTCTCTCTCTCTCTCTCTCTCTCTCTCTCTCTCTTTCTCTCTCTCTTCCTCTTTCTCTAAAATCACTAAACATTCCCTCAGATGAGGATAAAAAAGGCACAAAATTGGAAAGTCATAGCAAAAATGCTGGTACTGATCATTTAATCCATAAGAATTTTCATTAAGGAAGAAGAAATAAAAGGATACCTTCAAAAATAAATAAAAAGTTATAACATCACTATAACAGATATATATATCTATATTTAATGCTATCTATAATTACATGTGGTTAAAAATAAGAAAATAAATGAGTTATTGTATTTTATTACTGTAGAAAATAAATCATAAAGAAAAAATCGTCCCAATTGCTTATTGTTTATTTTTACCTTTTCCCTTAATTTTTAAAATTACTGGTTGGACCATATAAAATTACCAATATTCCACCATATGTTTGTTTGTTTTTTATTACAAAAGGCAATTTGATGTAGTTCAACTTAACATTTTTGTGATTAAAAAAACTTATTTGAAATGTATAATTTCCTTTAGTTTCAGTTCAATTACTTTTATTAAATTGGGTAAATAAATGTATAACTTTAAAAACTATTATGTAGAACATAAATCTATTTTTATAAAATTATTATCTTTCCTATAGTCTATTATCCTCCTAACTATTAGTTCTTAAATGTACACTTATGATATAAGCAGAGAAGTTTAAAATGATGCTCATTAAATATTAGTAATAGCTGTTTTCAGAATAGTAAATTTGAGGGGGGAAGGGATTTTGGCTTTCTTTTATATTTCTTTTGTGTTGCTTGAATTTTTCAAAACCAATATCTATCCTTTTTTAGGAAAACACCAAAGTCATTATTCAAAGGTAAATATCACTAAAACAGCCAGGGAGGAGCTGTGGGTGGAATGCACAGGCCCCTGGAAGTTTCTGGCCTGCCTCTGAGATTTGCAGCTGACTTCTATCAAACTGAGTGAACAACTTTCTGACAAATATTAAGATTTCCTCTCCTGATGTTTTGTTACTGAACCAGACCTTTGTAAATTCAAGAATATGTCTATGATTTACTGTTCTCCATCCATGGAGGTTTAGGAAGTAAAACGTACAAACATAATTTCCCTCCACCTGGTCGGCCAACTACTAGCATTGGTCTCAACTGAGTACTTGTTAGATGTGCAGAATCATGGCCCAGGATAACGTAGAGACACAGACTGCATTTTAACAAGATCCCGGAGGCTCTCTGGATAAGGTGAAGCTTAAGAAATACTGCTTTAGCCGAAACCAGTTTGGCTCAATGGATAGAGAGTTGGCCTGCGGACTGAAAGGTCCCGGGTTCAATTCTGGTCAAGGGCATGTACCTTGATTGAGGGCTCATCCTCATGTGGGGTGTGCAGGAGGCAACTGATCGATGTCTCTCTCTCTCATTGATGTTTCTAACTCTCTATCCCTCTCCCTTCCTCTCTGTAAAAAGTCAATAAAATTAATTTTTTTAAAAAAAATACTGCTTTAAAACATCTAATGGCTTAATTCTCCAACAGGGATATTAGACAGCAGCTTTCATACAGCTAGAGATAAGCCATCAGTGGGTTTGAAGAAAGAAGAACAATTTTTTTTTTCTGTCCACATAAAGATTCTTACACAATACAATGGAGCTATGTTCATGTGACCTAAGGAGGACTATCTCTTGTGTGGCTATCCACATAACAATTGCAGAGTGACCTCAAGTGATATTCAAGAAAATAGACACAGAACTTGGATGGTTAAAAGAGGTAAATGAAAAGACATTGTGCTTGTTTTCTTGGAGCAGGATGTGAAGAATCAGGCAGAGGGCAGAGTTAACTTTGTCTACAGAGAGGAGAAAAAAAAAATAGCAGTACCTGCAAGACTTCTCAGCATATTCAATTCCTTTTCCAGACTGTCAAAGGTTTGTTGATCAGCAGTGTTGTCTGAAGAAGGCTCATTGTGGTCAGTAATATCAATGTGTTCAATTTCTGAAATTTCAGAGGCAGCTCTAGATAATAATTGAGCCGGGGCACTTCTTGGTGGAGGATTGGAGTAATTACGATTGGAACTTCTTTTAACAGAGGTGGAAAGTGGTAAATTTACTGTTGAAGGTCTCTGTGATGTCTTGCCTAAAATAAAAAAAAATAAAAATTAATCAATTACTTTTTAAATGTTAAATTAGTGATTAAAGATACAAAATACCAGTCCCCTAAACTTAGAGCCGTTCAGTTCATGCACGAGAGTGTATGAAAAATTAAATTTTAGATTATCATCCACACTTTGCTAATCCCAAATTACTTTTCCCATATTATAAAAAAAAAAAACAATTCGCAGTAATTTTTTCATAATTTTTCTATATTCATAAAAAGATTAAATAATGTTAATATTAACTAAAGCAAAACATCTGCAACCAAAGTCAATTCCAGACCAGTAAACCTCTATCTTATATCATCTATCTCCTAGGCAACTGCTGTGCCATGTTTCTTAAATTCTGGGACAATACCACGCTGTGCCTTGTCAGAGGAAAACAACCCAAAGATAAACATGGTACCACTTCCTACTGAACCAGTTTTACTTGATGGCATGTAATTTATTTTTATATTAGAACAAACATGGAGCCCAGCCGGAGTGGCTCATTGGTTGAGTATCAACCTGTGAATCAGGAGCTCACAGTTTAATTCCTGATTAGAGCTCATGCTTAGTTGCAAGCTCAATCTTCAGTGGGTTACATGCAGGAATAGCCTATCAATGATTCTCTCTCATCATTGATGTTTCTATTTCTTTCTCCCCTCCCTTCCTCTCTAAAAACAATAGAAATACATTTTTTAAAAAAGAACAAAGATGAAGACAAAATAGATTAGTATAAATTATTTTTTTTAAAAGGATAGGCTTTAAAAAAATTGACATCAAATCTCTAATTTCCTAAACACAAGTTCACTCTCTGCTACCTTATAGGGCACTTAGTGGAAAAGTCCTGTAAGCACAGATCTAAGTCAGGTTATCACTGTGTCCTACCCAGGCAATCAGGGCTTTATCTTGATATATTGCAAAGGTTGGTTTTGTTGGTTTCTTCAACATGTGTGTCTCTTTCATAGTAGGAAGAAAATAATCCCTTCAAATGTTATACTATTACAACATGATTAATTTTTACCTTGGCACTGTTTCAAGATTCTTTAATAAAGGGAATTTTCAAAGTACAAATTTGGAAATGCATAGAACCGATAACATTTTAAATGTACTGAATCATTGTTCTGATTTAGATAAATGTATTTATATTGAGTATAAATGATTTATATTAGAAGATAAGCTTGCATTCCCTTAACACAAATTGACATTGTGTAAAATATTAAATTCTTTAGAGTACTGCTATTGTCATTATCATAAAAATTATGATGCAACTGAACATATGCCATATAGCATTATGCCCAATCTATTGACTCAAAGGAAAATGTAAAAATCAGAAGAGAGGCTACAGGCAGTTGGCATGTATTAAATATTTAATGACTATTGAGTTATTTTTTTTAACTTTACAGATCTACTCTGAATGTAGCTGGTACCTTAAGAAGAATCTTAATGCAGTGGGTAATTATTTAAGCAATTAAAACTGACTAAGGTAAGTCCCAAAGGGCACCAATTTTAATGAACACTTCAGAAATCAATTTTGAAAACACTTTTTGTTGGAATAAAATTATGAATAAATTTAAATAAGATCCTGACCCTTTGTGTCTGTTTGTGTTTGGAGACTATTCTGACAAAAAAATTGCCTATGTTTTTAGAAAAATAATGTCGATATTCCTAAGAATTATTTTAATGGCAAGAATTTAAAAATGATTTACCCTTTTAACTATAATATGTAAAGAATCAATGTTTTATTCATAGCCATCTATAATACCAAATTTGCCATTCATTCCTGAATAATGAAGCAGCGGTAGGAACAGCAATAGGAGCATAGGTTGGTGCTTATAACAACAATTCCTCTATCTAAATCAAAAGTTCTATGTCTATGGAGAAAACCACACCCATCTATCTGTAATGTGCTAGGTTTCAGTGAAGTAAAATTTAAAGGGGCTTAAAACTCATATGAAAATAAAACAAACAGCCGAAGCCAGTTTGGCTCAGTAGTAGAGCGTTGGTCTGCGGACTGAAAGGTCCCAGGTTCGATTCAGGTCAAGGGCATGTACCTTGGTTGCGGGCACATCCCCAGTGGGGGGTGTGCAAGAGGCAGCTGGTTGATGTTTCTCTCTCATCGACGTTTCTAGCTCTCTTTCTCTCTGTTAAAAATCAATAAAATATATTTTAAAAAATAATAATAAAACAAACAAAAGATTTATTAGCAAGAACTGAAGTTCTGCCAACACATATAGATACATGGTGAGAACATTATGACATAATGTAAGTGTCTTTCAGAAAATTCAGGAGAGTACAAATATCCTGTTTCCCCCCAAATAAGACAATGCCTTATATTAATTTTTTTCTCCCAAAGTTGCACTAGGTCTTATTTTCAGGGGGTGTCTTATCTTTCCATGCGCTAGGTCTTATTTTCGGATGATTTCTTATTTTCGGGGAAACACGGTACTTGCTGAATTCCTAACAACATCTGGTTGCCACAATACTTGAGGGTAATTGATCCCAATTGAGAAAAAATAAAAGTATACCAGAAATGAATCAGACTTATGCTTAGCACACAGAAGGAGACAGACCATCTTTCTTTCTTTTTTTAATTTAATATTATTATTATTATTATTATTATTATTATTATTATTGATTATGGTCTCACATAATTGTCCTTATTCCCCCATTCGCATCCCAAACCCATCCCTAGATATGCCTCCCACCCCCACCCCCGTTGTCCATGGCCACTGGCTAGGCCCATATGTATGCACACAAATCCTTTGGGTGATCTCTTCCCCTTACCCCCATCCTCCCTTACTTTCCCTCTGAGGTTTGAGAGTCTGATCGCTGGTTCTCTTTCTCTGGGTCTGTTTATGCTGTTCATTATTTCCTTTAGATGTGTGAGATCATGTAATCCAAGAAATACCCTTGTAAGAACCTAAACTGACAAAAGCCATAATGATTATGCTGAGAGGCAAATGAATCAGTCTGTAGTGAGTTCCTTTCTGGGCCAACAGTTCTTTTGAGTCCCCATTTCAATGCCAGATAGTTCCTTATGTGTACATGCCAGCCATGATATTTTAGATCTGGTTGGTGGACAAATGATGGTAATGCACAGACCATCTTTCTTAATGAAAATACATTCAAAGTGCAATTAAGAATAACCAATATGCAGAGACATAAGTAGCTCTAATTTGGTCCTCGACTTTAGTCATTTATTTTATTCATGTAGGTGGGTATGTCATTCTCTTTCATGTTTATTGCATAAACTTATTAATGTTATTGGTAGGGTTAAGATTTGAGACACAGTTAAGGCTGGCATTAATAAAAAATGCCATTGTTGCAGGGATCATTCCATACATTTTTACAGCTCAGTTGGTAGATTATAAATATAAGAGATTACTTTAGGAGTAATTTGTGCCATCACTGGTAATGTAATATTAGGAAATTATAGATTAACACTGATCACAGTTAGACTCTAAATATAACACATGAAATTGTCCTTGGTATTAGCTAAAGAGTATATGCTCTATGATTATTAATGAGATCATGCCAAATATTGGAAAGATAAAGTTGAAGGGTGCCTTTGGGTTATATTAATGGGCACAAGAATGCTGATAGGAATATGAAAATATGAATCACTCAATTCATAAGAACAATAGTCATGGTTGCTATTCTAATTACAAATTAGAATTGATGAAGCATAATCAGGGTAACATGGATTTTCCACAGTGTTTCAGAAACAATTTCTATCTGATCATAAGACCCACTATTTCCTTCTTGAACAAAGGTTGCAAAACATTATTGTCTATTGATATTCTTGTTCAACTGCGTAAATTACTGAGAATTTATACATAAAACATAGAAATGTGTTTTCCAATAGTTCTTGAAACACATATGGAAATTTTATTCAGCAGCATAGAAAAATGCTAAACTGGGAAGCAAGAACCTGTCTTGTCTCCTAGAATTAGAAATCAGCTTCTGACCAAGGACATGAAAATTCATATCTTGCCAGCAAAATTAAGGAGTTGGACAGAATAATGTCTTAAATCCCTTCCAACTCTGAGAACTTATAAATTCACACCATATCCAATTTAATTACAAAATCATATGTCAAATCCTAAAACTGCTATGTTAGGCACTGTATCAGAATCCAGGTTATTCATAAGTGAATCAGATATTGCCCCATCCTCAGGTTGCATGCCAGACTAACACAAAGTCCTGCTCTCCAGCTTCCCTCATTCAGAAGCACTGCCTAAGTGCTTACAATGACGCATCGCCTGTTCCATCACTGAAGATGCACCAATGAATGGAACAGGCAAGGTTCTTGCTTTTTTTCCCACTATGGGTGGGATCAGCAGAAAATATACAAGTAAATGAAAATAATTTCACTTAGTGGTAGGTTCTATGAGAAAGATAAAGAAAGGTAAATGTGTCCTGACTGGTTTGGCTCAGTGGATAGAGCGTCCATCTATGGACTGAAAGGTCCCAGGTTCAATTCTAGTCAAGGGCATGTATCTTGGTTGCAGGCACATCCCCAGTAGGGGTGTGCAGGAGACAGCTGATTGATTTTTCTCTCTCACCAATGCTTCTAACTCTCTATCCCTCTCCCTTCCTCTCTGTAAAAATCAATAAAATATGCTTTTTTAAAAAGAAAGGTAAAATGTGACTAAGGGACTCAAGAGACCAGCACTAAATAGATGGGGCAGTCTGAGAAGGCCTCTCTCTAAGGAGGCAGCCTCTGAGCTGAGACTGAATAATGGGAAAGAATCAATAACATGAATGTGGATATGAAGATTGAGATGAAGGCTTCAGAGCAACCTTGGTCAGAGGGAAGAGCACATACCATAAAAGTATGGCTTGTCCAAGAAAAGAAAGAAAGCCAGTGGGGCTGCAATGTGGGAGAAGCTGCAATTAGAAAAGACAGGCAGGGACAACCCAGGTGCTGTTGTGTGATGTGCAGTAAAGAATATGATTTTTCCTCTATTTTCTCTAAGAGGATATGGGATGCTTTTAAGCAGAAGACTGACATTATTTATGGCTTAAATTTATGGGAAATATGATCCACTCCATATAAATTATAAATAATTTTATGACAATAAATATAAATAATTCACTCATTGACTATAAGTAGTAGAATTTGATGGAAATTAATCATAACTTTATGAAGAGGCAAAAGTGCATTTTGGGGAGACAAGTGAGAGGTGATGAACAACAGGCTTGGGTTCATCTTGAGCAGATAGAAGTGGTTAGATTTGAGGTCAATTTTAGAGCTGAAAATAACAGAATCTACAGATAAATAGGATGTGATGAGTAAGAAAGTCATGATTCTCTGGGCTCGGATTTAGCAATGTTTGGATGGTGGTGCCATTTACAGGGACAGAAAGATGGGTTGGGTGATTAGGAGTAGCTTTTAGGGGGAGGTGGATAGAATCAGTGGACTTGCTAGTAAACACACATATCTTTCATAGCTATCATGTTTTACATTCACAAATCTAAAAAAAAAAATCTTACAGAAATAGGAATTCCTTTATATACTGGCATCAGTTCAGAATATAAGATTTCTACAATTTATGGCACAGCCAGGAAATTTTTGTTTTATATAAGGCCACTGATAAAGCTATTTTTTTTTGTCTCCATGAAGCCATTTCTCTATGCTCCTAACAGGTGAATCTTATGAATTCTTCAAGCTTTGGTTGAAATGTCATTTAGTCTCAGATATCTTGCATATCTACACTTTTCAGTGACAAAACAATTATTTTATCAACACCACTCCTAAAAGACTGCACAGGTACCTACCTCTATTGTAACTATTATTAATTACATTTCAATCCCCAAAAGTATGTCACTCACAGTCTTTTTATAAAACTTATAGATGAGGTAATTGATGCTTACATATCTATATTGCAGTTTTCTCAATATATAATTTTGGACAACTATATTACTATAACATGGAGTTGTCGATAAAATAAATGCAAATTCCTGGAGCTTATTTCAGCCTGAATGAATCCAAATCACAAGGAGTGAACGAGGAGAGTCTATTACAATAGGTCTCCCCCATGATTCTGCTCCCACTGACATCTGAGATCCTCTATGCTAGACTCAGCTCTGGGGCCACGGGAAGAAGGGCTAATTCATATCACCTGTATCTGGTAGTGCCTGGCCTAAAGTTAGTGCTCTCACAGATGTTTCGATAGTAAATTATTGATTTCAACTGACCATTCTAAATGGATATTTAAAAGCATTTGGGTAATTATGTATGAATATTTGTCTTAATAACAAATTTCTCAGAGTATGCTGCATCTGAGTTTGAATTCATCAATACACCAAGACTTAAAACATTTCCTTTGACTGACTCAGAAGGAAGCAACCAGAGTTTTTTAAGATGATCTAGATTCTGATATGAGTATGGGTACCTAACAATAGAGCCAAAAAACATTTGTCATAAATGGATGATTTTTTCACTCAAAATATCTCATGTCTGACAGTTTCATAACATAAATGTATATGGAAAATATCTAATCTAGCCAAGGAACTTTAATCATAGGATTTAGGGCAAGAGAGACATATAAATCTTACACATCTGTACAAATTATATATAATTAAATTTCTGGTTTTAAATGGTTTTTGGGCAAAGGCAAAAAGCCCCTTTTTCAAGTGCCCCTCCTAAATTGTTCAGGGAACATTACCAATGCATCCTTTATCCCCTAGCCCGGCACAGTACCAACATAGTCAACACATCTGTGTTGAATTGCCTTTCATCAGTCATCTACTTCAAAATTCATATAAAATTCAGCATAAATTTACTTTAGCAAGTATTAATGGATAATAAAAATTAACTAATAATACTATTGATTAGAATAAAAATGTCAAAATTCTCTGCTTATACTCACTATGAAAATATTGCAACAAACATTCAACATGTCAAAGAAAATCTGGCAATTATTTTGGTTAGACAATAGAATAAATGAACTAAATCATGCCCAGCATTAACACCCTCAGCATTAGGTTTAGAATGGAGGTACCTCAGCTGTAATCTTAGCCTGAGCCATCTACACAAATAAAAGGGAAATATTCAAATTGACCATCAGTTTGCAACATCCACCAGCCAATCAGGATTGAGTATGCAAATTAACTAGACAAAGATATTGTAGGCACACACTCCCAGCCACTCTGGGCCTCTGGGCAGCATGACTGCAGGTGTGGAGAGGCCAAGGGAGGCAGAATGCCTGTTATGAGGGGGAGGGCAGGGGCCAGAAGGAGAGACAGGAGCAGCACTCAGGCCAGAGCAAAGACTGAAAGTTCCAGCTGGAGCAAAGACTAAAGACTCTGGCTGAAGCGAGGGCTTGGGTCCCAGATGCCGGAAGAAAATCAGTGCTGGAAGAAAATCAGTGCTGGCAGCCAGGGGAAGGAAGGCCTATTGCATGAATCTTTGTGCAATAGGCCTCTAGTTCATTACATAAATGGCTATAGCTGACCATCATATAAACAAAGTGGAGGAGTACACAAAACCTAGTATAAATACAGTTTTCCTCAGAGCGTAATGAAACTGAGTAGGTAAGGATTTTTCAAAGTATACACCATATCCTGAGCTCCATTTTTAAAACATTTCACTCTAATACATTGCTACAGAAAATAACTAAGGTTGCAACTCAGTTTGTTTGTCTGTGTGTGTTTTAGCAGGAATAATGACTACTCTAGGTTTTTTGTTTTGTGGAGAAAGTATAGGACAGTTAGTTAAAATGACTAAGTTTAAATTATAACACTGCAAAAATTAACTTTCAGGTGGCTAGTAAACTGCTAAAGACAAACTAATCAATAGAATGAATCAGCAACATGTCACTGTCCAGTATGTAGAGTGCATCTCACCCATCTTTTGCTGTGTTCTACTTGATGATGGGTTCTGGCCACTCTGCTCAGCACCTGAGGCAACTGCACTGTTAGGACATGCAATTATGCTCTGGTCTGGGATCCAGTCTCTGTCTCCTGAAATAGAAAAATGATACAATTATATACGTGGTAAAGGAGAAAAAATCATGTTGTTGTTTTATTTCTTTTTCTTTTTATTTGTTATTGGTATTAAATTTATCAGGGTGTCATTGGTTAATAAAACTATATTATCTTACTGGATAATATTTAGCTAAATAAGGGACATTTATAATGGTTTGGTATATATTAGGAAAGGCAAAATGTCATAATTACACAATAAAAACGATTAGATTTGCATAGCTTAATAAAGATAAAAAATAAACTCTAAATTGCAAAGATGTTATACACATATTTGAATAGAAACAGGTATTTTAAGAAGTATTTAACAATATTACATAAAACATAATTGTTTGTATGTGAATAAACACACTTGAATTCAGAGGAATCCTAAAAATTCACGTGAAATCAAAATCTAGTTTTAAAAGAAAATAATAGTATGTCTCAGAAATCTCACAGATCCTGAGATTTTGGGGTTTTCCTTTAAGTTGACATTTAAGAATCATCATATGATACTTATTTCATAGTTTATTAAGGAACACATTACTAAATTCTAAAAATAATTTCTCCCAGTCTCTTAATAGTCATGTTATCCCTCATTTTGATAGCAGTTTTCAATATAAATATGTGGCAACTCATACAGAACTAATAACTTCAGCTAAAGAAGAATATAATGATTGTATTTGTTGAACAGAATTGCCCAATATTTCCTAACATGATGATGGACTGCTTTAAAAAATGTGTCAGAAAATTGTTAAGTTGGTCAACAGGCCAACTGATTTCATGTCTGAATTTACCTGTAATTGTTATCTTAGTACCAGAAGATCTGTGTTCTAAATTATGAGAAGGCAGCGAGTTGAGTCTTTCGTTTCTATCAGAAACAAAGAATCTTTCAAGTCCTTGATATTTTTCAGTAATAGGCTTATTTCTGAGGGCTATTTCCTGTAATGACTAGAAAAAAATATTCAACAAAATTAAGTTTATCTCATCAACACAAAGCAGCACATTCATTGAGTACCTACTATGTTCTTGGCATGGATTCTACCCTCCTCAAATTTAATTTCTAGTAAAGGAGATACAAATAATAGCATCCTATATAATAAAGTGGTAATATGCAAATTGACCCTCAAACCCTCACAAGATGGCTGCCTATGACCAGGCCAGCAGGGGTGTCAATGAGAGATGACCAAATGACTGACCAAATGACTGAACAGCAGGCTGTGTGGGGTGACAAGGCTGGCAGGAGGATTAATGAAGGATGACCAAATGATTGAACAGCGGACTGCATGGGGCAACCAGGCTAACGGGGGGAGTGGAGATCCATGAGGGGTGACCAGGCTGGCAGGGGAGGCAGTTGAGGATGACCAGCCAGCAGGGGGCACAGTTGGGGATTACCAACCAGCAGGGTGGGCAGTTTGGCACAACCAGGTTGGCAGAGGGGACAGTTAGGAGCAACCAGGCCAGCAAAGAGGGGCAGTTGGGGGCAATCAGGCTGGCGGGGGGGGGGGGGGAAGGAGAGACAGTAAGAGGCAATCAGGCAAGTGGGGGGACACTTGGGGGTAACCAGACCAGGGGTGGAGCTGGGGGAACCAGGCTGGCAGAGGGGGGCAGTTGGAGGTGATTAGGCTGGCAGGGGGTCAGTTGGGGGCAACCTGAATACCATGCGGACAGTCAGGGGCAACCAAGCAAGCAAGGGGGGCAATAAGGGGTGACCAGACAGGCAGGCAGGTGAGCAATTAGAAGCCAGCGGTCCAGGATTGTGAGAGGGATGTCCAACTGCCAGTTCAAGCCTACACTGGCAGTTGGATGTCTCCCAAAGAGTCCCAGATTGGAGAGGGTGCAGGCTAGGGTGAGGGGACCCCCTCCAATGCACAAATTTCTTGTATCGGGCCTCTAGTTTATATATAATAAGTTTTGAGAAATGTATAAACCACAATTACAATAATTATTTACAGTAATTGCCATCAAACCAACGAATACAAAAGTTCATGAAACCAAATTTTCCTTTCTCCTTTCTTTCCTTTATTTTTCCCCCTTCAATGTCATTGCACACACATTATTTGGAAAGCAGAATCTCTCTCATATGATGTGCTTTTTGAACTAGTGTCTTTTTCTATACATAAAATTATTTCAAAGATAAAGTGTCAAAGAGAATAAATCTGACCACACCATAGTCATAGACAACGTCCAAGTTAACAACATTTTCATCATTAAGCAATTTTGAAACTGAGGCAGGAACAAGCTATGTAATTTGAGTTTATATAGCTCAAAAGTAGCAGACTTAGGCTTTGAATATATATATCCATCTCATTTTATGCCTAGACTTACTCTATCACACTATGAACTCATTTTTTTTATATGCTTTCATCCCAAGGAAGAGTACAAATGAAATTTAAAAAGTACATAAGTCCCAACCAGTTTGGCTCAGTGGATAGAGCATCGGCCTGTGGACTGAAGGATCCCAGGTTCAATTCCAGTCAAGAGCATGTACCTTGGTTGCGGACACATCCCCAGGAGGGGGTGTTCAGGAGGCAGCTGATTGATGTTTCTCTCACTGATGTTTCTAACTTTCTATCCCTCTCCCTTTCTCTCTGTTAAAAAAAAAAAAATCAATAAAAATATTTTTTAAGTACATGGAATTTATAAGAAACAGATAAGAGATTTGGATTGAGAGCTCTAAATGGGCTTACAATATATCATCAGTATTTAAAAGTTCCTTAATGGATCTAATGAATGCCCTGATGCAGTCTGTTCAAGCTGGTAACCAACACAAAAGAAATAATTGTGACGATTTAAATTTAAAAGTCATATAAATGCTAAAATATACAAAACCAAATAGCATCTCATTCAAAGATAAGTCCAATCCACTCTACTCATATCTTCACTGGTTCCCCCAGACACTGAAACCAATTTACAGAACCCCTGCAGCCATAGTGGAGCTCATATTTGGATTAGACAATTACAAATCTGGAAAGTTTTTTGTAAAGCCTTGGTCAACAGAACAATGAAAGTGAGTTTGTTCTTCCCAAACTCACAAAGTTAACTTGGTTGTTTCAGAACCAGACCAAGAGCCCGATTAGACCACATTCTTCCCAGCACCTGACTTTTATCTCACTGTTGCTGCTCTACTACTTAGTACTTAATTTCATAGGTGGTCCCACCTTTATGAATAACTCAATTTTTAAAAAAATTATGTGCAAAATGAACTGCCAAACAGTCAATTTCAAAGTCAAGTAATGCCATTACTAAAAATTTCCCCTGTTGCTCAGTCTTGAATTTTCCACTGGAAAATATCCAAGTAGTTTCTGCTCAAAGAATGGCTTTTGCTAGGGCAGGAGGAGCATAAAAACATTTCCTGTAGTCATCAGTAGATTATAAAGCACTGTTCTCTATGATGTAATCATTTAACACTTTTTTCTTTTACAATCCTATATAATAAAAGGCTAATCTGCAAATCGACCAAAAAGCAGACGGACCGGTTGCTATGACATGCATGACCATCAGGAGGCAGAAGCTCAATGCAGAAGCTGCCTCCTGGTGATCAATGTGCTTCCACGGGGTAAGCACCACTCAACCAGAAGCTGAGCTCACAGCTGGCAAGTGCAGTGGCAATGGAGGGGCTCTAAGAATAGCCTACTAATTTGGGCCCGCCCACTCTCTTAAGCCATCATTTGGACATCCCCAAAGGGCTCCTGATCTGTGAGAGGGTGCAGGCTGGGCTTAGGGACATGCTCCCCAGCCCCCGCCCCAGTGCACAAATTTCATGGACCAAGAGTCAAGTAATATCATAAAAGATCAAAATATAATTAATAGCTTTTTAACATTTAAATGTTAATTATGAAATGCTTTAAATACACTGAGTGGCCAGATTATTATGATCTCTGACTGTATACATACATATATATATGTGTGTGTGTATGTGTGTGTGTGTGTGTGTGTGTGTATTAGAGGCCCAGTGCATGAATTCCTGCATGGGTGAGGTCCCACCAGCATGCCCAAGGGGAGGGCTCATGGGCAGTTGGCCGGCCTGCCTGCTGGTCGAACTCCTGTTCAAACTCCTGGTCAAGGGGACAATTTGCATATTAGCCTTTTATTGTATAGGATATACACTGAGTGGCCAAGTTTTTATGTGTTCAGAGATCATGTTTATACAATAGATATGTATAACACATGATTCAACTTGATCACACAATTTAATATCAGTAATTTAAAGATTTGCTTCAAATTTTTTCTAGCTTTATTGAGATATAATGGACATATAACTGAATTACATTTTATTTTACTTCATTTTATTATTGACATTATTATATATGACCCTCTGTACCCACCTCCACACAGTCCCCCCAACCTTCCCTTTGGCTGTTTTCTGTGTCTATAGGTTTTGCCTATATGTTCTTTGGCTAATCCCCTTCACCTTCTTCTATACAGTCTCTTTACTCGCTCCTCCCCTCTGACAGCTGTCAGTCTATTTATTCCATGTATTCATGCCTCTGTTTCTATTTTGTCCATCAGTTTTTGTTCACTAGATTTCACATATGAGAAATTTCTATACCACAATGTATATCAATCTTTATAAATTAATTGTATTATTTAATTGAAGTTGACATTCTCTATTCTAATATATTATATTTTAATATTATTAAATTTGAGTGTATCCATAAAAAGGTACATATTGTAAATGTTTCCAAAAGTGCTATCAAACTCTATGTACCCTTTTACATTTCAATTTTTACATCATTTTTTTGAGATATATCCTTGTTAATAAAAATAGTTTTGTTTTATTTATTTTAACAGGAGATGATGTCTCCTCTTGCTAAGGCAAAGGTCAGCCAGGCTTACGAACACTATAAATAAAATTGGGTTTCTTTGCTCAGGATTCCGCTCCTCTAACACAGCACATTGCATGGACAGGTATCACTAGTCCTCCTCATGATGCCCTGTAGAAACAGGTCAATTAGAGTTTTTGTCTGTTCTGCTTGCACAGATTCAATCTATGCTCAATTGTTTTCTTCATTGGAAGAGGGGAGAGAATATGTCTCCTAGCCAAGTCCTTCAGAGACTGAGCAGACTTTTAGGGATCTAAGGTTTTGCAGAAGTCTCATTCCACTTTGCCACTTTAAAAAGGAACAAGATCAGCCGCAAAGTGGGCACAGAAATCCAATCTCCAAACAGAAGTAGCAGGAGCTCAATATTCAGTCCAATTTTTTGGTACCACCTTCAGTTTAAGCACGATAGAGATTCATTTCAAATGACTCTAAAGGATAGTTAAATGTTGGACTTCGCCATTTCCAAAGAATTTAACATTTGTCTTGCTCAATTTCCCAAGAGATTATTATCAATAATCACTATTACTTCACATTTTTAGTATGTAGAACAGAGATTTAAATGTACTTTTAAAATTTGGTAGTAATGCAATAACTATTGCCTATTGCTACTTTACCATTTTTCCTAAGAAGAAACACAAACTTCACCCCTATTCCTTTATTAACCTTGTACCTGACAGATACCTTTAACTCCTATACTTATTATACATTAAGCCACAAACACTGACTTTATCTACATATTTGCCTTTATTTCACTTTAAACAGGGACTATACAGTAAAAATCTAGAATGGATTTATTATACTAAAATATTTATAACAACAAATTTCATTTAGAAAGGTAACAGCACTATAAATATGGTACATGAGATAGACCTTCAAGTTTTATTTGTTATAGAAGCCATTTATTATCATGGCATTTAGCATATTAGATTTGTCCTGTAAGTCATTAACATTCTTTCCCATATAACTCAATCTTCAACTACCTCGTGATAATATATGGCAGTACATTTTAACTTCAATTGGAGAAAACATTTAAGAATGTATTGTGTGAGCATAAAATTTTCTTATGGTGTTCTTATATAAATTTTAATATAACAAACATAATTAAAATTTACCAGTGGTGACTCTGTAGTTTTTGAATCTTCAAAGTTTGGCTTCTCCAGAAAATTGCTACATTCCAAGGATTCTTTGCTGTCTTGAGATAATTTCTCCTTAATGGAAGGTGTTTCTAAATCTACCTTTGGAAAAGAATCCTTGTTTTCAGATGATATGCAGGAATTATCCAGAGTTTGATTACATTCCATATCGATTATACTTTTCTCTTTGAAATGACTTTCAGAAAAACTGCCTTCCCCCAAGTTTTCAACAGCAGGAGAATAAACATCGGGATCCACATTGCTGCCAACTTTTTTATTTGAAGTTCCTGTTTTCAAAAACACACATTTTTAAGAGTTAAATACATTTAAACAAATAAATTGATTAATCTGTTCACAAACCAAATGTTCTGTGATGTACACCTGTATCAATAAACCCTATTTTGTCAACATTTCTTTACTGAGTTCTGTGTTAAAATACTATCATGCTGTTTTTGTTCCTAAATGATAATCATGATTTACTTAGGCATTCAAACCTTAATGAGCTAGAGACTAATAGAGTGAGGCAAGATTTTATTTTGTAATGAAATCTTGAAATTGGTGCAAATTTTTATTCAGCCTTTGGTTCAATTCCCACTTGCCTACCTCCTCTCCCACTCTAGTTTTAAAACAGCAATTTATGAGAAATAATGCAGAGGGAATCTTACTTCCACATTTCACCTCTTTTTCCATAGCATGCTAGTGATGAGGAGAAGGCAAAAAGAAATCTGCCAGATAAATGAGCAGCAGTTAGAGGCATAGAAAATGTTTAAGCTGGAACACCTGCTTCTGGAAAGCTACAAAATGAGCAAGACTTTATGCGTCACCATCTCATCATGTCTGCTTTTTAACATATCACTTGGTTTAGATCATCGGTTTCAACCTGGTTGCACAATGGATTCATCTGAAGGTGCTCTTTAAAATTGTCAGTGTGTGGGCCTGACCCCAAAACAACTGAATCAAACACAGGGAGTGGGACTCAGCACTGTTGGTTTATTTTCCTCTACCAAGTTCTCCAGGGGATTATAATGTGCAGCTCAGGTTGTGAATATCAGTTTAGATTTTCTGAAGAATTAAAATAATTTAACAATTTTGCACCACATTGCTTTCATTTGACATATATTTTCCAGAATGAATACAGCTTCATCTGATTATCTCTTATTATCTTTCTAATATAAATAGCTTATCTCTATAAATATACTGTGTAAAACAGTAGAGACTATGACTAAAATAATGTCCAGTGATATAAATTTTGCCATGCAGCCCAAAAGACTTGTTGCAATCAAATGCCGATATAGCTCGGCTATTAGACGTAGTATTTACTTAGAACTTTCACATCCAACAGCTATCACCTCAAATTGCACAAATACTAGGAGAAATGCAATAACTTATATGTTATAGAAATGCTTTTATATAAAAAAAACTTTATAAAGGCTATTCAATTTAATGAAGCTTCCACAATAATGCTGCACTTTCCTTCTACACTTAAATAGAAGTTATCTGATTTTTTTCCCAATAGAAACACATGCCATTTGTTATATGCAATTGTCTGCAATTAATCTCTACAATATTCACTTAAGGTGGCAAAATTTCATTATTAAGATCTTTTGTTTTTAAAAAAATTATACAAAACATCCATTTATTAGTGTTTAAAATGTGATACACAATGTACGGATATGATTTAATTTACTCTATTCATTGGAAGGTCTGTTAAGTCATAAAAATTAGATATCTTGGTTCAATATTCATAAATAAGTTTATTTTATCACATCAATAAGTTAAAGAATAAAAACCAAAGGATCATGTCAATAGATGCAGAAAACATGACAAAATCTAACACCCACTTATGATAAAAACTCTCAGAAAACCAGGAATAAAAGGAAATTTTCAATCTGATAATGACTACAAAAAAAAAACACACAAATGTACACACACAAAAATAAGCTATAGTCCACATCATACTTAATGATGAGAAACTAAAAGCTTTACTCATAAGATGAAAAATAAGGCTAAGTTTTTACCCTCTTACCACTCCTTATTCAACACTGAACTGCAAAACCTAGCTACCTAGTAAAACAAGGAAAAGAAATAAAAGAAATGCAGATTGGGAAGAAATGAATTTGATACTATTCAAAGATAATATGATTATCTACTTACAAAGTCCAAAAGAATTTTAAAAAAACACATCCTGTAACTAGTTATTGCAAGATTGCAGGATACAAATTAAACATAAAAGTCAATCACTTTTCTATATACCAATATAAACAAGTAAAATTTGAAATTAACATAATAGCGTTTACATTAGCAAACAAAAAGAAATACTTAGGTATAAATCTAGCAAACTATGTACAGATCTATATGAGTAAAAGTAGAAATCTCTGATTAAAGAACTCAAAGACTAAATAAATATATAGTCTGTGTTCATGAATAGGAAGCTTCAATATCATCAAGATGTCAGCTCTTCCCAATTTGATCCATAGACACCATGAAATCCCAATCAAAATATCAGCAAATTATTTTGTGGATATTGATAAACTGATTCTAAAACATATTGAGAGGCAAAAGACCCACAATAAGCAACACAATATTGAATGAGTAGAACAAAGTCAGAAAACTGACTATCCAACTTCAATAATTATGATACAACTATACAATAAAGACAACGTGTTATTAGCAAAAGTATAAAAAATTGATCAATGAAACAGAATAGAGAATCCTTAAATAGATCCACATAAATATAGTCAGCTGATATTTGACAAAAGAGCAAAGACAATATAATGGAGAAAAGACTGCCTTTTCAACAAACATGGCTGGAACAACTAGATCTCTGCATGCCCCAAAAGTTAATCTGAACAGAGTCCTTACACCCCCTTCACAAAAATTTACTCAGAATGAGTGATAGACATAATTGTAAAACACAAAATTATAAAACTCCTAGAACACTGGAGAAGATGTATGTTGGGTATCATGATGACTTCTACACAATATCAAGCAGATTCCCTGAAACAAATAATCGATAAACTGGACTTGATTAAAATTAAAAGTGTCTGTTCTGTGAAAGACACTACCAGGAGAGTAAGAAGGCAAACCAAACACTTGGAGAAAATACCTGTAAAATATGTATCTAGTAAAGTGCTGTTATTTAAAATAACAAAAGAAATCTTAAGAAAATGTGAAACCCAACTAAAAAAAAAAAATGGGCCTAAAACCTTAGCAGACTTCATCAAAGAAGATATATTGATGAAAAATTATGGTTGATGAAAAGATGTTCAACATCATAAGCCATTATAAAATTAAAAATAAAAACAATAATAAAATACCACTACACAATTATTAGAATGGCAAAAATTTGAAACACTAGCAGCACCAAATGTTGATGAGGATGTGGAGAACAGGAACTGTCATTCATTGCTTTTGGGAATGCAAAATTGTACAGCCACTTTGAAAGACAGTTCGGTGATTTCTTACAAAACTAAATGTACACTCAACATACGATCCAACAATCAAACCCCTTGGATATTTCCCAAGTGAGCTAAAAATGTAGTTCTAAACAAAAACTTGCACATAGATATATATAACAACTTTATTCATAATTGCCAAAACATGGAAGTGATCAAGCCATTTTTCAGTAAGTGAATGTATAACTAAACTGTGGTACATTCAGACAATGGAATTTCAGCACTAAAAAGAAATGAGCTATCAAGCCATGTAAAATCATAGAGGCATCTTTAGATGCATAACACTAACTGAAAGAGGCCAATTTGAAAAGACTGCATACTATATCATTTAAGTTCTATGACATTGTAGAAAAGGAAAAACTATGGAGACAGTAGAAAGATAAGTGGTATCCAGGGGTTAGGGAAAAAAGGGGATATAAGAAATCAGAGCACAGAGGATTTTCAAAGCAGTAAAACTATTTTGTATAAAATATGATACTGGACACATGTCATTATAAATTTGTCCAAATCCATAGAAGATACAACCAGTAATGAACCCTAACATAAACTATGGATTTGGGGTGGTAACAATTTGTCCATCTATGGTTGTTCACTGACAATGTACTATTCTGGTTTAAGATGTTAATAGTGGGAGAAGTTATGAGTTTGTGGTAACATAGGGTATATGGAAACTCTGCACTTCCTGTTCTGTTTTGCTGCAAACCTAAAACTGCTCTAAAAAATAAAGCCTAGCCCTGGCCAATTTGGCTCTTTGGAAAGAGCATTGGCCTAAGTCAGTCCTGAGGGGTCCCAGGTTCAATTCCAGCCAAGGGCACATGCCTGAGTTTAGGGCTCAATCCCAAGTAGGGGGCGTGCAGGAGGCAACTGATGAATGATTCTCTCTGATCATTGATGTTTCTCTCCCTCTACCATCCTCTCTGAAATCAATAAATAAATATATATTTTAAAAAATAAGAAATAAAGCTTATTTAAAGAAATTAAGTATCTTTAAAGTAACACTTAGTGAACATTCATATTCAGCATTTTCACACAGGTAACTGAAACACTGTGCTACAGTTAGGTAAAAAAAAAAAAAAATACTGTCTGGACTAGATCTGGAGCTCTGTAAAAGTCCTAAGCTCCCATGTGAATTTACTTTCAACCAGTTTTCTTCTGAGAACTAAAATTTCTGGGGTTAAAATAAGCAGCAAAAGAGTCAAAGCTTCTGTATACTGAACTACCAATCCGTTCTATTAAATTACCAACATTCATTGTTAATAGTAGTAATGAACAAGGGGAAAAAAGTTACCTTTTGAGTTATCTTCACAATAAGAAGGGCTGTTGCTTGGATGAAGATGTAAGAGGTCTGTTTTCTCCTTGGTGAAAACATGATGCTGATGGATATAATTTTTATACAGAAAAGTATTCTGATAATCATAAAATGTGCAACTTCCATGTTTGTGGAAAAGCAAAAGAATAGCATTGAAAGAAATAATATTTAAAAAGTAAAAACTCCCAATTTATTAAAACATATATAATAAAAACTTAAAGAAATAGGGGTATTCACACTGATTTAATGTTTATTTCAGCCTTGCTGTGAACACATTTTAAACTACAAGTAATTAAGTTGTTTTATGCAATTAAAAGAAATAGGCAACTGGCCAACACTTGTTTTACTATAAAATTTTAATTGAAAGTTTCTTTTTTAAAATATCCTGAAATAGTCAAAACCGGTTTGGTTCTATGGATAGAGCTTCAGCCTGTGGACTCAAGGGTCCCAGGTTTGATTCTGGTCAAAGGCATGTACCTTGGTTGCGGCTACATCCCCAGTAGGGGCTGTGCAGGAGGCAGCTGATCGATATTCCTCTCTCATCGATGTTTCTAACTTTCTATTCCTCTCCCTTCCTCTCTGTAAAAAAATCAATAAAAAATATTTTTTAAATATTCTGAAATAAATGTGGTTTCTTATATTCTTTCTTCAAAAGATGGAGATTTAATCTTTTAAGCCCATTAAAATGTAATGAAATCAAGGTGTGTGTTTTTAATTAATTGAATTTATTGGGATGGCATTGGTTAATAAAATTATATAGGTTTCAGATATACAATTTTATAATACATCATCTGTATATTGTATGATTAGTTCACCACTCCAGGTTAATTCTCCTTCCATCAAATCAAGGTTTTATACTTAAATAAACTTTTAGTTGTTCATAAATGAACTTCATGAGTTAAAATACCATATGTGGCACTTGTTTCATTTTTTATTATGATATATATATATATATATAGTATATGTATAGTTACAATTTAAATAACATTTTCAATGCATTAAATAATATATTTAATAACACCTGAAATTTAGTAAGTTCTATATAGTACCATCGTAAAAACACATGCGTTATGCTAGATCAAAGAGATCCTCTTGAATTACCTATAATTCTTTATGATTTTCTAAGAAAATAAGAAGCTCTGTGGGCACCTCCAAACCCAAGATGTGAAACTATTGCCAAACAATGATCGGTAACTTTTTCTGTCTTCCCTAATACCATACAGGGAGGTCAAAGCAAAGATTTGTGATAACATATATAAAATAATCAAATTAAAGAGCAGAAATAGCACTCATTTTCCTGGGGATATATTAGTGGATATAAACCTCCTATCGACTGGCCGGACATTGTTTACTGCCCTCTGTCAAAAGGGCAAATGGCAAAAGCACATGTTTTACTAGACATCTGGTCTCTGTGTCCAAACATGGGGCTTTTCACATCTGAGTGCATCACGTAGGCCTATTGCTATTCCTAAATGCTGGCAAGGCCTATGTTGATCTGAACATATAAACAAAGAATTGGTGGAAGGGTTACTTGATGGAAACTTCATTCTGATGTTTAACCAATTTAATACTTTGTAGTCAAAACACCTTGAAATCCTAGCTAAAGTGAAGCGGACTTGGAGTAAAATTTATTATTATTAACAAATAGAGCTAAAGCCCTAGCCAGTTTGGCTCAGTGAATAGAGCATCAGCTTGCAGACTCAAGAGTCCTGGGTTCAATTCCGGTGAAGGGCATGTACCTGGGTTATAGGCTCAAACCCTGGCCCTGGTTGGGCATCCAACCAGCAACCAATCAATGTGTCTCTCTCATATTAATGTTTCTCTCCCTCTCTGTATCTCTCCCTCCCTTCCACTTTTTCTAAAGTCAATAAAAAATATCCTAGGATAAGGATTAACAATAACAAAAAATACAACTAGATATTATTTTTCATTTGAAATGACAAAATTCTACCAAAAAAAGCTGCAAAGTGAACCATTACAGTATTTACCACACAATGGAATCTATCTAGGATGTAATCCATAGTTTGGGAGTTCTTTTTTTTCTCTAAAACTAATTATTAATATACCTGTTTTCACTTACAGTTCATAGCAAACTGAAGTGAGGAAAATCCAGAGTTATATTTGAAGAAAAGAACAAAGCTCATATAAAATATATTGGCCTTGGTCAGTCATTTCAAATAACAGTAATTCCTAAATTCAGAAGCATCATCAAATAGTCCAGATATTAGATGAGTATAGATATATCATTATGGACACTTTTCTAATTATTGAATGTTGACTAATATTAGCAATATTGTACATGAATTTAATCATGGATTTACTTGTTTTTTACATATGTATGTCTCATTTAAATAAAGAGTTGATTTCTTGGTGTGTTTTTTTTAATAGCATAAAAAGTGAATTAGGAAGCCTTACCTTTGACTAACTGCATCAGCTAATTCGACTTTGTAAGGCACAATCTTTCCTTGTTCTTCAAATTCTTCTTTGTAAGTCTTATTAAATGCATGTTGTATAATGTTAGTATATTCAATAAATGGATCATTATATGTTAACCAGCCAACTTACAAGTGATATTTAGCGAATTTTCTTTCACTAATAATGTCATGAACTTTCTAACTATATGTCTTAGAACATGAGTTTCTAGAAGAACCCAACATATTCAAAAGATATTTGCTGAGGGCACTTACTTTGTCAGTCATTTTATCATTACTATCACACCCAGAAACAATAATACCAACTCATGTTTTATACTTAACTACTAAGTACCAAGTAAGTTAGTTCTCTGGCATCAGGTTACTGTATGCATGAATAATTTAGTAACATGTGTGTGTATGTGTGTGTGTGCATATTTATTTGTTCAATAGCTTAAATTTATCCAGAGGAGAAATAAAAATGTTGCTAGGTGCATGCCCATACACACACACACACACACACACTCAGCAGAGGCTGTTAACCTAAAGAAAAAAGTAGTATTTAAAGAAGTACTTCCGACATCCTAGTACTTTTCTTTCACAATCACAGTAATATAAATATCAAGGATAAGTGCTAAATTCAGCTACTTGATTACAAAGTCAGGAATATACGGTTTGTCACAATTTAGACTTTCAGCCTGGAGCTCTCGCTCTGACTGGCTCTAGCTTTAGCTGGTTCTACATGTTGTCTTCTAGAGGTGTGTATATAAATTATGACACACTAAACCCCTTACATAGTCACAAAATTTTTCCTTTAAATAGAAAATAATATTAAATGACATTTAAAAAACTAACTGTATACGGATTTCATTAAAATAAATACTACACTAATCTTTGTTTAAAAGCCTGATAACATAAAGAACTAAATAAAGCAAACAATAAACTACATGTTTATAAGTTAAAAAAATAAAATGTCTTTTCATCTACCATGCCACATACTTCCAAAAAAAAATGACACTTTATCAATTCAGACATTTACTGTCAACACTAAAATAATACAGTTTATTACTATCAGCATGTTTAAATTAAACTATGTTGAATGACAAAAGATTCTTGTTGAAAATAATATGTAGTTGTAACTATATGCTATGAATTTCCTGTTTGTTAGATAAACTGGTCAGTAAGCACTCACATCATCCAGTTCAACTATTCTTACAGATGATTCAGGTCTCTCTGTTCTTAACTCTTCCACTGGCAGAAAAAGAGCTGGGCATTGTACTTTGGTCTCCTCAACTAGGGAATAAGATTGGAAAATAATTATCATCAAAGCATATACTTTATCTGATAATTTCCTATTTCAAATAACATAGCCAAAAATAAAAGGATAATGTTCTCTTGTATGTCCACACAAATATATAAATGCTGTCAATTTTCCTAGTTCAAGTAAAATACACATTTTTTAACATTCAATTTTTAAATGAAAGTGAATCTAAAAAATGGAAGAAAATATGCATTTTGATCAGGAGATAAAGGGTACATGGTCCAGTTGAGAATCATACAGTAAAGAAAAACAACTGATTAATGGTTAGGAAATAATTTAAAAGAAATACACTTGAAAATGTCTAATCAATACTGAACTAACCATCATCATCTTTATCACTTTCATTCTGAGGACATGGTGCCTCACTCGTGATTGTACACTGAGGTATGAGTTTATCTGGTGGTTTATTTTGAAGTTGCTCCTGTGGAATTCTACAAAACAAAAAGGAAGCAATTAAAAGACTAAAATGCATTATCTAAAACTTCCCTGACAGGATCTTGATTTATTTCACAAAGGAGTGAGTCTACAAAATTAATAATGAAGTCAGCTGTACCTCTAATTCATGGAAGAAAAATATGATTGCCTAACAGAATCTTAATCCACTAAAATAATTTTGTAAATCAAATTAACAGCACATAAGATATTTAAATTGCTCTCCCACTGTTTTTTGTTTAGAATGAAAAGTAAAGTTATGATAGAAGTCAGTGTTCTTGCAGAAGCCACATGAAGCCCATTAAACATGCCACCCTGTTTACAAAGCTAATTTATGAATGTGTGTTGTTCCCCACAGTTTTGGCAATATGTTGACAGGTTCTAAAAGAACCTGAAGACATTATTCTAAGCTTCCACCAAGCCAGGCGGGTGAGAACGTAGGGCCCCATCATATGAATATGAAGTATTCTGGCTATGGCATCTGTCACCCAATGAACGAGGTTTGGTGCGGCCCACACCATCTCATATGGAAGGCAATGAAGCACAGGGATTCTCGGAGGTCAAGAGCGTCCCAGAGTTCATTCCCACATTATTGGGGAGCTGGTCACTTTTTAACAAAGAATAAAAGTAGGTATAGCCCTTGAAAACCATATAGACTCATGAAGTCTACATATAAAAAGTCAAAGCATTTTTAGTGATGTTAATAGGTAACACTGATGTATAACTTAAAATCTACCAGGCTCTTTTCTAACTAATTTTGGGAATTAAATCTTAATAAATGTATTAAATGGGCACTAGTATTATTTTAATTTTACAGATGAAGATGTTGAGGCATGAATAAGTAAACCAACTTGTTCAAAGTCATTCAGGTAATAAATGCAGAAAAGGAATTTGAACCCAAGGCTTCTGCCTCTCCAAGCCCATGTTCATAACAATTACTCAATATTGCCTTTCTTTCAATTTGCAAAGGCATTAAAAATGTTATAATTTCATGGAAATCTATGGCAATGTGTATTTTCTGAATATAGATAATCTATATATATATAAAAAGCCAGAATGTAATGCTGGATTGATCCAACAACTAGTCAAGCACTGACCACCAGGGGGTCAATGCAGGAGCTGCCCCCTGAATCCAGGCCTTGTTATAGATCATGCTACATAAAAAAAAAGGATAAAATATATTTTAGAATAGAAGTACCTCAAAATTTAAATAAATATTTATTGAACATTGACCAAATCATTTGAGAAAACTTTTGATGAGAAGTTCTAAATTTATTCTATCAATATGTTAGGCTTTTTGCATCAGAATCACCAAGGAAGATATTTTTAAAGTGTAGTCTCATATTCATCCTTTACAAGACTGATTTTTAGATTTGTCTGATGTTAGATAGAGAAATCAATATTGTAAAACTTGCCTGGATACTTCTGATGATTAGCTAAATTTGACATTTAAATGCAATGAAAAAAGTAGGGTAATTTGAGTGGGAAAACCAGCTAATTGCTAATATCCACCTTTAAAATATTCTAAATCCAAATCTCATGCTCTCTTTCATAAAACTTTCCTAGCATTTAATAGATCTACTAGAGATATTAGCTCTTTAAACACATGTATTGGTAGCTCTTTAAACACATGTATTGGTTGCCCACAAAATATAAATCTTATTATCAAATTCAGAAAAGAAATACAAAACAAAATGCAATGGAACATCCTAATATATAAAAACCCTGGATCTGTCATATTCACAAAGAATGGGGGCTCAACCTAACACCCAGGCTGCTTGCACAGCAAGCTCTGGTGGATGGGGACTTGTGGCAGTAGAGACAGGGACAGGGGAGGCGAGGCAGGCATTCATACTCACTCACAACTGCACACACACGCACAGACACACAAGGCACCCACCAGCTCACAGCCTTTTCTTCCTTTCCCTCCCTCCCAGCTCACTCTCAGAGCCTCTCTCAGAAAGGAATCAAAACAGACTGGGCATGAAGAGGCCTGGATGGAAGGGAGGGTGGGCAGAGAGTGGAGTAGCCCCACTGGTCCCACCCCTTACCAGGTGGAAAAGAGGAAGAAAAAGACAGGGAGGCAGGGAGGCCTGGAGGACTGCTAAAAAGAACAAAGAGAGACCAAGACTGCATGAGGTCAGGCTGGCAGGGGAGGACAGTTAGAGGCAATCCAGCAGGCAGGCAGAGATGTTAGGGGCAATCAGATAGGCAGTCAGAGGCAGTTAAGGACAATCAGGCAGGAAGGCAGGTGAGTGGTTAGGACCCAGGGGTGCCAGATTGTGAAAGGGATGTCCCACTGCCTCGAGGGGTCCCCGAATGGAAAGGGTGCAGGCTGAGTTGAGGGGAACCCCTCCTCCCCCATTCATGAACTTCATGTACCAGGCCACTAGAATATTTATAAAAGCCTATTATAAAACATGACAAAAATAGGCAAAGATAAAGTCTTAACCATGATCATCATTATCAACTAGGGAAACTTTTCATAAGTACAGTATCAGAAATATTATAATCAATTTACAATCACAAGCTTGTAAATTGCAAATAGATTGCCCCATACTACATAGCATCTATAATTAAAATATAAAGCAACAACTAAAAAAAAAATCAGTTAACAAAATAACTGTAAGTAAGACCCTAGTGAATATGTTCACTGATCATTATTTTCTAACATGGAAATTTGCCAACATTTAGTAGTCAGCATAGCTCTGGACTTCATGTGCCCGTGATTAAAGCTTTTTATATGTATCCAAGCAAATGATGGTACTCATTTAATAACAAAATTGTACTTTTATTGGATAACGAACTGAATGTGAAAGGCATCAAAAGGCGTCTATAATAAAATATAAATGAATTTGATATTACTATTATATATTAATTCTTAAATTAGAAAGATGCAATCGATAGGTGCAGACTTTTGAGTTTCAGAGGTGAAGAACTATTAGGGCATCACACTTTAAAGGAGAGGTAGAAAACTTAAACAACTGTTACATAGGAACAACCAGAGTTTGATATGAAAAACTTAAAGTCCTGCCTCATAAGCCACAATGGGATACAGGACACACCTATTGAAGTAACCACCAAAAGAAAAGAACCTGAAAATACCAGACACTGACAAGAATGGAGAGCAATTAGAACTCCTATAAATTGAAGGAAGGCAGACAAAACTATTCAGTCTTAAGGAAAACAGTTTGTCATTTTCTCATAAAGATAAGCATACACTTAAACCATACAATTTAGCCATCCTAGTCCCAGGTATTTACCCAGAAAATTTAAAACCTATATTCAAACAAAAACCTACATACAAATATTTGTAATAGCTTTAACCATAATTACAAAAATACTAGAAATCAGTACCCTATTTTTCAACAGTTAAATAAATGAACTGTATGCCACAATGATGAATACCCCACAATAAAAACAAAGGGATTTTGATTCACTTGAGAATATGGATGAATCTTAAATGCATTTTACTAAATGAATGACACAAGGCCTACCTATTATATGACTTCATTTACATGACATTCAGGGGGAAAAAAGGTAAATGTATAAGGAGGGAAATAGACCAACAATTGCCACAGGTCAGCAAAGAAGAGCTGACTATAAAGGGGAAGTATGAAGGAATGTTGGCGTGATTAAACTGCTGTTTGGTACAATGGTAAACACATGATTTGAGGTATCAATAAAAATCCATAGACTTGTATAGGAGTTTATGCTAATCAATGTTTAAAAAGCAATCAATGAATAGTAAAACCTTTCCAAGGAAGGTGGGGAAGAAATGGGGATCATGTACTGAGCACCTCTGGAAAACAAGGTTTTGACCGGACACTGAGGGCTAACCATAAAATCACTATACACATGTGCTCCAGTTGGGGAATCTGTTTCTCACACTGATATCGAAGCATCCATCTTATATGAAAACTACTGTTTGAAATTTTAACCCTGCTAATTGGCTTCTGTAAATTCTTGCTTGCTAAGACTACTCCCACTTCAGGGAGGCCATTAACCCTTCCCCAAACAAGATTATCAGTGCTGGCGCCAGGCCAGGCCTCTGGTTGAGGTCTCAAGACCCAGAACATACCGGCTCTTTAAGAACTTGCCAAAGAGGCTGCCAACAAATAGGTATGTCTGTTTCCGTATCATATTTGGGAGGCAAAGAAAGTAAAAACATAATTAGGGGAAATTTCTGCATGTTGGGGCCCAGAATTTAAGACATTTTCCTCTGGACCCTTACGTAATAAATGTAACTCTATCTCTCTAAATATTGGTTTTCTGTAACAATATTAGTCATGTGGAACTACTTTACACATATATTGAAGTTGATAAGTTAATAAACATATCACAGACCATGAGAGCCAGTAATCTCACTGCAGGTGAAAGAAACTGCAAATAAGTTACATTGCTATGAATGGATCTCTAAAGACAATTCTGGTGAGGGCTCGGAAAGAAAAGAGGAGAGCTGGAGAAAAGACCTTAGCCTTCCTAGAGAACACCTACGTAATCCTGAACAGAACATTGGTAGAAATAAGGGTGGTAAATGCCTTTCTGATGAGGTATTAAAACAGAATTTTTTAGGGTTGAAAAAGACAGGTTTAAATTTTAGAAATTAAGGGGGCCATGGAGGAAGCACAGGGCTGCAGAGCAGCAGAAGCTTTATTTCCATAGAATAAGGAAGCTGAAAAGCTGCAACAGGTACATTTTCATAGAATGAGGGAGCTGGGAACAGCAAAAGGTGTGCATTTACACAATAAAAAGAAGGAAGCTCTTCATCCAGAAGAAGAAGAAAGCCCAAAGGGAATAGGGAAACAAAAAGGAAGGAGGGGGGAGGGGGTTTAGGGTTGGGGATAGGAGAACTTCACAAGTCCCATGTGATGTTCAACCTTTGAGCCCAGGAGTTACTATATCGATAGTAACCAGTCTAAGAGAATAGTGGCCAATTATAGGGGATCTCAAGGCACCAGGATCTGAAGCCTTTATAAGCCATAGGAAAAAGGAACTCAGTGGGACCCTATCCCCATCCCTACACAGGAGTCTGTACTTATTTTTAAATAAATTTCCACCTTTGCTCTACCATCTTCTGTCTGTGGATTCATTCTTCAAATCTGGCAGACAAAGAATCCGGTTTCCAGTCCAGGGGAACACTGTATGTTCCAGTCCAAAAATTCCGTTTCAATATCAGGTGGAAGTAAGAAACATGCTACTACACAATGGAGAAAAAGCGGTCTATGTTCATAAACCAGTGCAGAACTTTCCTGACTTGTGTTTCTGTCCTAGAGTTTTATGAAAGGTAGAACTTGCGAGTTTTGAAATTATACATATGGCTGAGGCAATCTCTAAGCAGTGTTGAAGGAGAGCACTGGTTTCTCATGGCTGCTCATAGTAAAATGCAAGAAAAGAGAAATTCTTAATGACAGATTTACTAATCAAAAGAGGATACAAAATTAATAATTTGAAACATTCTCATACTATCCATAATGAAAATAATGAGAGCCTATTCAGGAGAAAATAGGAAGTATATGGCCAAAGGATTAGAGAGATTAAGCTCTGATAGGGAGATTAGCCAGCCATCTAAACAGAAGCCAGGGCCTATTATCTAAAACAAAGAAAGATGACCCTAAAGGCAATAGAGAAATCCTCAGAACTATCCCTCCCATCACAGAACAAGAAAGTCCCAGGCTACTTGAAGAGAGCAATGCCCAGAGAAACTGCAGGGACCAGGCCACCTGTGTGACCCTAGACTACAAGTGCTACCACATTACATGCTGGAGAGTCACTGGAATGCAATAGAGCATTCAGCCACCATAGGAATGAGACCACCCAAAGCCATGGGGGCAGAGCTAACCAGAAACTTGGGAGCCCAACCTCTGTCCAGCAAAGCTATAGGGAAGGTCTGCTGCCTCCTTGTGTCCAGAAGGCTGGAGCCCTACTCTAGCGTATCTAAAAGGTGGAACCTCCATCTCAGTGGGCCTGGAGGGCAGAGCATCCACAAAGAGGATAATTCTCAAGAATTATTGAGGTGTCTAATAGAATTTGCCCTTTTGGGTTGCAGGCTAGCTCGGGACCTGTTTCTTCTTTACTATGTCTCCCTTTTAGAGTAGTGATATTTAGTGTATTTCTGTTTCACCATTGTATTTGGAAGCACATATCATGTTTGATTTCACAGGTTCACAGTTAGAAAGCAATTTGCCTCCTAATGAATCATACACCGAGTCTCATCCATATCTGAATTAGATGATATTTATATAACAAAGTGAACTTTAGATTATTGAATTGGTGTTGGAATGAGTTAAGAATTTTAGGACTCTTGAAATGGAGTAAATATTTTGCATGAAAGTAGGACATGACCTTGGAGGGATCAGGAGCAGAAGGCTCTGTTCTGAATGTCTATGTTCCCACAAAATTCATATGTTGAAATCATAGCTTCCAAGGTGATAGTATTAGATGAGGTCTTTGGGAGGAGAGTAGTAGATCATGAGGGTAGAGACTTCATAAATGGAATTAGAGCTCTTATAAAAGAGACCAAAAAACCCTCCCATCTGCATGTGAGGACACAGTGAGAAGATGGTCATCTCTGAACCAGGAAGCAGGCTCTATCCAGACACTGAATCTTGGGCACGTTTATCTTGAACTTCCCAGCCTTAAGAACTGTGAAAAATAAATGTTGCTTATTAATATTTAATGTTAAATTTTAAACAACTTATGAAATGTCGAATCCAATGAAACAGTCTTTGTATAAAATATATTTGAATACTCGATAAAATTATAAAATTAAAGGTCTAAATAAGCTTAAAAGTAGATTCTGAAAAATATAGCCTGAAAAGCGTATGCTAATTTTAAATGTCTGAGAGCAATACCTTCTCAACGTAATCTTTCATTGATCACATTATTTTGCTATTGTATGTTGTTTTGTGCCTTTTCCCCACATTTATATTTAGATTTTTTCAAGGAAAACCCTAAATAAATGATGCAATATATATATATATATATATATATATATATATATATATATATATATATATATAGAATTAAAATTCTTATTAGAACAGCAGAATCTTTGCATGGATTTAATATTGCTTTAAAATTATTTATGCAAATATAAAGCAGACATATAAAATTGCTATAAAAAAGCATGTCACACAAGCAAAAATATAAATAGCATTTTATATTACTTATTAATAATGCAAAAATTCAGAAAATACCTTCTGTGTTTTTTAAGCCATAATTTGTCCATATAGGATATACTGTCTTCTTTAAATTCAACATGAAGTGGTTCTCTCCAAATTTTCAGATTGGTTTGTACTTCACATTCTTCCACTGAATCTATAACAATAAATATAACATGCATGGTTAATATAACCTAGTCTATAAATTGTAACTTTTCCCACGATATAGAACTTGTCAAATATGCTTTGATATTTATCTATAACCAATAGTTCTGGACTTAAATAATGCAAAAGTTTTAAATATTGATGATTTATAAATAACTGTGTAGATAGTTTTCTCCCATAACCCCTTGAAATAGAAGAATCTTTTGATTGCCCAGCCAGAGTGCCTCAGTGGTTAAGCAACGACCTATGAACCAGGAGGTCATGGTTTGATTCCTGGTCAGGGCACATGCCTACTACCCGGGATGAAGACTTGATTCCCAGTGTGGGGCATGCAGGAGGCAGCTTATCAATGGTTATCTCTCATCTTTGATATTTCTCTCTCTCTCTCCTCTCCATTCCTCTCTAAAATCAATAAAAATGTGTGTGTGTGTTTTTAAATCTTATAATTCACAAGGTTTTTAAAAGCAACTAATTCTTTTAAACGCTGATAAATACAAATAGAGTCATTGTATATTCCATAAACACACACAAACATAAAGGTAAAGGTATGTGTTATAGCTACTGACAATAATATTTACAGATGATGGGAAAAAGAAAAGAAATAACTCAGAAGGTGGCACCTGGAGGAGAGAGCTTTCTCCATGAATTGATGTCAACCTGGCAATTTACTTCCATATACTTCAGATATTTCTGAAGTACTACAAATTAAAACCACTATTCAGAGGTTTTTAAAACTGATGGAGATTTCGTGGCAATAAATAACTAGAAAACTTGGAAATTCAAAGCACATTATTAAAAGAAATGAGGCCAAAAAACATATGGAAAGATATTTATATCATTTGAAATGAGATGCAAAATGAGATATACCATTTTATCTCTATCAATCCAACACCACTTTTAAAATCTGATTATTTAAGAGTTGGTGGTCATGGTAAGCAACTAATCTTTTCACACTCTGCAGGTGAGAATGTAAACTGATACAAACACTGAGGTAAATAACTCAACTTTATTTAGTGTAGTTGAGTACATGTACACCCAGTGAACCAGCTCTTCCACTCCCAGGAATAAGACACCCTACAAATGTGGGCACACGTGTTCCAAGAGACCTATACAAGAATATTCATGACAGCAAAAAATAAGAAACAACCCAAATAACCACCTACATTCAAACAGGCAGATAGTACTATGTTCCTATAACAGAAGACGCTTAAGCAGTGAAAATGAGTGAAATACTACTATGCACATCTTCATGGATAAATATCATGGGTTCTCTAAATATCAAACCACTAACCTTTGGCCATATAATGATATTATTTGAGGAGTTATATCAAACTGCTCTTCCAATGTTAATATTTTTGAATATTGTATTTATAGTCACAGAGAAAAACTTCAGCTTTATTTACAACATTCTTTTTATAAAAATCGCTTTACCTGGCTTTGCGGCAGGGACGTTCTGCTCGCCTTTGCCACTATGACGTCCAGTTCTCCATTCATTTAAAACTTCCTGGAAGGACTGGGCAGAAGCTTCCTCATCAAATGACCCTTCACCCAAGAGCCTGTCTCTCGGGTTTGTACTCTCTTCTTTGGCTGTTGTTGAAACTTCCACCTATACCAATTAAAAACGTATCTAAGTATGCTTTCCTAAATTTTCCGGATCATAAAATGAAAATAGCATTAATTGTTAGGCATTCAAAGTCACACGCTTTTTAAACTTAGAATAGAATGTTTTAAAGTTTTAGTTATGTATATGCTCCACTGATTTCTTTCAAACTGTATCTGGTTATAAATGGTCTCTTCAGAAATTATTAAAACTGGAGTCTACAGGACTGAGAGTTTATCATTATGTTATTGACCAGTGCCCTCCCTGGAAAGTGACAACAGTTTTGTAGGTGACTCTCCTATTTTCCAATCTCCTGCTCCTGCCACCTCTCCACAGCAGAAAGAGTGTTTCATAACTTGCAAATTTGATTAGGGCAGGCCTCTGCTCAAAACCCTGCAATGACTCTGTATGAAGCCCCCAGACCCTACTAGGACTTACAAGGGGCCTACACAACCTTGTACTTCCTGCCTTTCAGTTCAATTCCTTCCATTTTCCTCTTCTCTTACCTTGCTCCAGACAAACATATCCTTATAGTTCTGGGAACTAACCCAGCACCTTCCCACTTAAGGGCTTTGCACACTATCTTTATCCAATGCCTGGAGTGAGTCTTCTCCACAAGCCACACAGTCATTCTACTCATTTCAGTCAATCTCTGCTCAATTGTCACCTACTCAGAGTAGGCCATGACCCTCCTGATGACCTAAAAATACAGACTCTCCCTCCCCTCCCACACACACACACTGTCTAATCTATTATCTGCTTTATTTTTCTCAAAATAATATCTCTGTGTGAGTTTACTTATTTCTCTCTCACACACATCATTAGAATGCAATACAATCAGAGGATATTTTCCTCCTTCAGTGCCAAGAGCTGTACCAGGTTCAAAGTGATGCTCATTAAAAGTTGGTTGAATAAATAAATAAATAAATAAATGCATGTGGAACACATTGCATGCTTCTAGCGTAAAGATGGGAGAAACAATGAATTCAAGATAAAATATAAATCCATTGTGAGCACACTGAAAAAAATAAAGGTTGGCATTGGCAGTTATCCATTGAATCAGAGAAATCCAAATTATGAAGCCAGAGCAAAATAAATTCCACACTAATGTTAAATCACCAAGTGTGGATTACCTATACTGATATCAGATTGCTAAATTGGCATTGTGTATCTTCTAGAGACACAAGTAGGATCCTTCATGTTCAGTCCTTAATTGCAAAATAAACTGGCAGATTGTTAGAGTACAATTGAGAGAAGATGATTAAATAGTGCATAAAAAATTTAAATGTAAAGAAAAACCAGCTGGGAACCTGCCAGACTGTGCTAGCTGCTGGCCACAGAACACAGGTTAATAAGCCCACAACAGAGACAGGTGCAAGTGCAGGTATTTAACTCAGATAAACAAGAATTCGGTGGGCCGAGAGTGGCATGGGCAGGATTCCAGAGAGAGGGAATGATACATAGACAGAGACATGGAGCCAAACAGCAGTATGGCATGAAACTGGAAGTAGTTTATATTTTTACAGCAGAGTGGGATATGAAAAAATATAAAGGGTGGAAAGACAAAGAGGGGGCAGATCGTGAAGAATCCTGCCTGCCACACAGACAATTAGGCTTAAACTTATTGGAAACACAAAGCCACTGAATAGTCATACATAGAAAGAGAGAAATTAGGGTGGAGGGGAGATAATGAGTTTGGATGCAAGGAAAATCTTATGGCCATTTGGCAATATCAGCATTACAAATACATAACCCTCTTAAGTTAGGAATGTCCAGAATTTATTATGTAAATATGTATACAAACCAACATTTTCCAAAAACATTCTTCATACTATAGTTTGTATTGGCAAAAGACTGAAACATGTTAAATGTTGACCAGTAGAAAATAGATCTTAAAAAGTCTAATAAATGGAGTATTTTATAGCCACTATATAGAATGAGAAGGTTCTAGAATGCACTTAAATTGATATTAAAATATTGCATTAAGTATAAAAAACATGTTTTCAGAGCAGTTTGCAAAGTATATTAATATTGGTTTCAATAAATAACTACATACAAAATTGGAAATATTGTTGATTCCTAGAAGGAGAGAGAATAAAATGAGATGTACACTCTATAAACATTTTTCGCTTGAAGAAAGAGCTAACTTCAGGATTAAGAATGGCAATAAAAATAGAAATGACCAGTCAAGCTAGGTTTTAGATGGTAGACTGTGTGGGACGTGGTAACTGACTGGATGTGCAGAAGCAGGAAAGACAGGACTATTGAAAATAACTAACTGTTCGTGCCAGCTTAGGAAGCTGGGAGATAGGCTGACACCAATAGTAATATCTATTGGAGGAGAAATAATGAATTTGATTGGAAAATATTGAGTTTCAGAAATATGTGGGAAGGTAATTACAGGCATCCACTAAACAGTGTGTGTGTGTGTGTGTGTGTGTGTGTGTGTGTGTGCACTAATAAAGAAGGATTGAAAACTTGGTGCAATGGTTTAAGTGTATGGTGATTGTAGCAACTCCCAGAGCAGCTCCTTTACAAGACATTTGCATTTTATAGCTATGCTTTTGGAATACTTGGCTTCCATATACCCTGTTTCCTTGAAAATAAGACAGTGTCTTATATTAATTTTTTTTTTTCTCCCAAAGTTGTGCTAGGTCTTCTTTTCAGGGGATGTCTTATCTTTCCATGTGCTAGGTCTTATTTTCGGAGGATGTCTTATTTTCGGGGAAACACGGTAGCAGTGACAGAATAGGAAAAAGCCAGCAGATTGTACATTGGTTCTTAAATGTTTCAGCCCAGACTGTCATATGTCACTTCCACTCAGGGCCTATGACCCTGCCCAAATTCTAAAAGAAATAGAAAATTTGATGAGTCAGTGCTGCACATGCATTACACTCCTGGGCCACAGGGTATTCCAAAAAGACATGTTTATTCCCATTTTCCTATATATGTGCCACTTTCCAGAAGAGGAAACAGAGAATCAAAACAGCTAAGTAAAATGCTGGATGTTATAAAAGCTTGTAAGAAAATCAGGGTCAGTATTTCAAATCCAGGTTTTAGTGTCTAAAATGAAAGCTCTTCCATGAATTGCACCCCTTTCCAAGGATACCAAGGGCCCTGAATCCATAAGAAAAGGCCTAAGACAGCTATTAAACATTGTCACCATTTTGACTCTTCCAGGTTTTGGAATTGCTTGGTAGGCTAATTAAAAATCAGATTCCTGTACTCTAACACCAATGGAGGAAAAAATCAAAATTTGAGTGGCAGGCCAGGAATGCACATCCCATACTTCTGATGCTTATTACAATTGGAGAACCACTGCTCTTCAATACAGATGACTACCAAGCATATAATAGGGACACCTTTTCAGTGCATGCACTACAGATGGGTGCACACCTGAGGGTCTATAGCTGTGACTCCCTGCTGGGGTTCTTGTCCCAGCATTAAGAAGGGTTTAGCAATCTGGAGAAAGGCTATGCTTAGATTAAATAAGAGTCCAAAGACAAAAGATAATTTTGAAAGGCATTGGGGGTCAGAAGAGCTTCAGCTAAAAGAGCTAAAGTTCTAAGTTGTTGGTAGTTCTCCTTGTCTCAGGACCACTGCTTTTTATTAACACAGTTTGTCTTAAGGCAAGGTGGAGATATACACTTCAAAGGGTAGGATTTACAGAGACATGGTCATATTGGGGAATAGTCTATGGCTGTTGAAGTGTTTGGCCAACAGAAGGCAATAACATGTAGATTAAGATGCCCTGATCTGTCTGGCAGCAAAAAATTATCCTATTCAGATTTGGGGGAAGTGCCGTTTAGTTATTCCAACAAGTGATTACATATGTGACTCAGCCCTTGTTGAGCCCCCAAGTTTTATCAACCATTTGATGAAACTCTTGCAATTATGACATGCTGGAATTGGCTTCCAGCAACTCCCAACTATGAATATTCACCAGGAATAATCACTGAGCAGTTGCTAAGACCTCACATGTCTGGACTCCACCCATAGAGATGCTGAACTCAGTTCTGTGTGTTTCTTTAAGGTTTCTCCAGTTGAGAAAATGTATATACTCCCAGATGAAACCTCTGAATTAAAGGTTCTTAAGACAAGAGGTGAGGGTCTATACAGCAGTTACCTATGTGGATAAGAGGCAGCACTTATTCTAGTAATTAGAAGCACAGGCAAAGAAATAGCTTTTTCTGTAGCTTTTTCATTGGTTATTAACTTAGGCCCACATTGTCCTCATCTGTTAAATGGGGTAATAATAATGCAAAACTCATATGGTTATTATGATTATTGAATAAGGTAAGGCAGGTAAGTAACTAAGCACAATGCCTAGCATCTGGTATTTAATAAATGTTAGTTTGTTGATTTATCATTTTTTTTATTGATATTTCACAGAGAGGAGAAAGGGAGAGAGATAGAAACGTCGATGAGAGAAACATCGACAAGCTGCCTCTTGCACACCCCCTACCGGGGATGTGCCCGCAACCAATGTACATGCCCTTGACCGGAATCGAACCTGGGACCTTTCAGTCTGCAGACCGACGCTCTACCACTGAGCCAAACCGGCTTCGGCTGACTTATCATTTTTATTGATAGAATAAATTTAAAAAAGGCATAAAGGAAAAACCTTAAATCCTAGTCTCTAAGTAGTGGCTAAAAGCAAGTAATTTGGAATAAAAAATCTGGGTTCATATATAAATTCCACTATCAATAATACCTCGGGCAATATATAAAAAATGTTTTTTGCCATTATTTTCTCATCTGAAAAAAAAAGAAATAATTAAGAAAAGACAAAAATGGATATTACAGGTAAAATACTTAAGAGAGTATCTGGCACACTGTCAGGCCTCAGTACATTATTATAATTATGTGGCTTTAATTCATAATTCAGTGATTCCTCACAAACATGAAATCCATTCAAATATGCTGACTTTCCTGGACAATTCAAGCATAGTTCTTCTTCTGAAAAGAGGTCAGACTAACATAGAGCACACTTTTCCTTATACTCTGTGAGCATAGGTTTGGAATTCAGACTGATGCAATTCCAGACCCACCAAGTAACAAGCTATGTGACTATGGACAGATCAGGCACTATTCTAAAATGCAGTGGGAAGGGGAGAGGCAAAGGAATAAGGGTTATTGCATAGATCAAAATCTGAGGAAGTTTGTCTTTTGCTAAAAAGTCAATACAGCAATCCTATTATAAAAATATGGACATGAGCTGATGAAACTTATCTAGCACATTATGGGGTCAGTAAACAATCTCAATAACTACCAGCTTTTGGTATAAACCCTATTATAAAAAACTGTGAGATTCACTGTCACCTAAAACACTTGGCAAGGTTTTGTACTCTTAGCCTCTGACGTCCTGATTAATATAAATTCATTATATTGCATTGTGTTCTCTATTTTTATGTTCCTCCCAAATACTCATTCATTTCCTGCAACGGTGGAAATGCCCAGAAAGCCACAGGGTCAAAGAATCATTCATCAAGAAATCAGCATCCAGCCCTAACCAGTTTGGCTCAGTGGATAGAGCATTGGCCTGCGGACTGAGGAGTCCCAGGTTTGATTCCAGTCAAGGGCATGTGCCTTGGTTGCAGGCACATCCCCGGTGGAGGGTATGCAGGAGGCAGCTGATCGATGTTTCTCTCTCATCGATATTTCTGTCTATCTCTCTGCCTTTCTCTCTGTAAAAAAATCAATAAAATATATATATTTTTAAAAGATATTAGCATCCAGTACAATCAAAGCAATATCCTTCAAGGGATTGTTATAGTCGAGATGTTTTTGATCAATAAAAAAATTCAGATTGAGTAACAATGTGATAAAATAATCTGCAAAACTCTACAATATATGCATGCCAGTCTCCAGGACCATATATGACAGAAATATCTCCTACATTTCCCACAGCTTACCTGGCAGCTGCTCCCCTGCAGTGGAGGAGGTTTGGGTCGATGCTGACGTTTACTAATCTCTTTTGGAGAGCGATTCTCCCCTTTGAGTTTATCTGGATTCACTTCCTTGATAAACCGATGGGCAACATCCAATACATTGGATAATATTTGAGTTTTTGTCTGTTAATAAAGGAACAAAAATGTGACTAAAAAGCCAAATCTATAAGCCTTCTGTATTTTAGATACCTCACATTATGTTTTCATTATTCCATTCCTACTAAATTCAATGTATTTTACTTACTATTTAAAAATACAAATTGACATTTATATCAACCGATATAATAGTGACAGCTACACGATGTTTGGAGGGGCTAGTTTGGGCTAACGTTAGCTTAAGTATCTTAAAAACATATTATTTAATCCTAAAGTCAACTCTGAAGTGTTCCTATTTTTATCTGTTTCAGGGATAAAGAAACAAAAGCTCTGCGTGTTTAGCTGACTTGCCCTTGGTCACATGGTGAGTGGGTGGCAGAGCTGGGAAATGACCCAGGTGTATAGTATCATTCTAATGACTCATAGCCTTTCCAACCCCACATAAGTAGACGGGTAATTTTATGCACACCATGGCAAAAGAACTAAATATAGCTTATCTGGTCAGAGCCTGAATAAGCAGTCATAAGTATTCCTCGGTGATAAAACATCTTTAGAAACTATTAGCTGTTTAAAAGTGGAGACACAGGAAGTGCATCTACCTGTGGTTCCTGAAGTCTCTCCGCACTGCAAGGCTCTCCGCATATGGCACCTCTGCTCATGAGTGTCAGTTACCAGGGAGGCCCTCCACCCTCCACTGTTTTCTTTGCCTCTCAGACCTCTCCTTCTCCTGGATTTGTCCCCCGTTATTTCCACACCAGGAACCCTTCCCGGGCCTCCTTCTCCAGCTGTGTGCAGTACCCCTTCTCTGTACTCTCTTCCTACCAACCCCTACAAGAGTAATTTTACATCATCTTGTGGCGTCTATCTATCCCATGACACCATGTAAGCTCATAGAATACAAAAATTATATCTCCTTAAATATCTGTATGGCTACCACCATAAAGATGAGGTTTGTGGGGAGGGAACAGAAGGACTCTAGAATTAAAATAAATGATTAGGAGCAGTGGTCACCAACCAATGGTCCCTGAGGTCTAGAAGGTTGGCGAGCACTGATCTGGAGAGCATTGTGCTAAGTGAAATAAGCCAGTCAGAGAAAGACAAGTACCACGTGATCTCACTCATATGTGGAATCTAATGAACAAAATAAACTGTTGAACAAAATGGATCCAGAGACATAGAAACATGGGACAGACTGCTGAATCTCAGAGGGAAGGTGGGGTTGGGTGGATGGGTGGGAAGAGATCAAGAATGTATATGCATATTTGTACACAGACAATAGGGTGGTGGAGGCCTGGGGTGGGGAAAAGAAGCAGGCCTGAAGGGGTCAATGGGAGAAAAATGGGACATATGTAACACCTTCAACAACAAAGATTAATAAAAGTAAAGGACTGAGAAAAAATAATTCAAAGAAGCTTTCCAAGAGCCTTCTTCAGAATCAAAAGGAACAGGCAAATCTCGGGAAGGCCCTATTCTGAGGAGTCTCCCCGGGACACTGCAAGATGCTGAATGCCACCTGAGCTTGAACCCAACAAACTCCAGGGGAAGACACGGACCTTTCAGAGGCTCTCAGAGAGCCTGGCATTGGGAGCAAAAGCAGCAAGTCTTACTTCTTAGCAAATGTCCTCAAAACAGGGGAAAACTCTGGCAGGGATCAGAAATAATTCATTTGGACTCTCTCATGGAAATATTCCTATTTTTAAATTTTCAACTACTTCCCTATTTAAATAGCTAAAATTACATGGAAATTTTCCAGTATGACCTTTTGAAAATTTGTTAAGATCCAATCTGATTCTTGAATAAATCAGTGAACATCAAATTAACTGGTGTTATTTCACACTGAATTAATAATTTATATATGAAAAAATGACTAAGGTGAACTATGCACATAATTGTTGTGCTTTCACAGATCTATGGTGTCTAGTTCAAACTTCACAATGATCATTCAAAAGCCCATTTACACTTATTCGGTCTTTTTAAATAAATATATATATATATATATTCATAATTATAATACAATATTATTGTGCATATTCATAATACTGTGCACTAGATTTCTATGGCTTATTTACTACTCATTGCATTTAAAATTGCTGAACTGTACACTTAAAATGTTTAATATGAAAACATTTATGTTATTGGTATTTTACCACAAATAAGTGTATGCTATTATTTATATGAGAAATGTTGAGTGCATGTTATTGTTTATAAATTGAAGCTGAATACAGTTGATTTAACAAGGAAAAACATGAAAGGAAGACAAGATAAAATATTCAAGCCAATGATACTGCTTAATCCTTCCAGAAATAACTGCATTTTGGCAAATATTTTCTACACATAATCCTATCTAAGTCTGATTTCATATTTCCTAGAATGAAGTTCTGTTGATATCAAAGGTAGTTAAAATATCTAGTTTTCATCTTATTAAATCAAAATTTAAAATATTGGTATTATTTTTACATAAAAGTATTACAATAGAATCATCATTCAAATATATATATATGTAAAATTAAATAGCACAAAAGAAAGATTACTTTTGTCCTAGAATGTATCTTGCTATCAATGTTACAATAATTTTTGTAACATTTTTAGGGAGCATTTTAAAAGACTATGAAATAGCCAAAATATGATTTCATTCCTATATTAAATTTACTATTAAATATATGATAAACATCATGGATAACTGATAAAATGGAATACTGTATATCTAAATGTCTTAAAGTTCTGTTAATTCTGGATAAATAAAATGCCAATAAACTGGAATTTTCTTTCTCACAAAAATGGAATATTTAAATATTACTTTCCTCGGTTTTAAAAGTGTATATGTGTACTTTATTTTTCTTATTCTTAAAGCAATTATTTCAATAGAGGAACAGATATTTAACAGATATTTTGATCCCCATTACTTGGACAATGAAACCCAAGCTCATAAAGCTTAGGTCAAAGCCAATGGGTTCAAAATTATTTAGAGCCAAGGTTTTTCTTCTTTTAGCCTAATCCTGTTCCCTACTGAATTAACACAAAATGCGCTTTAGTTATGCTTTCTTAAAAGTAAGATTACTTTTTGTTTGTTTTAATTTATTTACTTATTTCAGGTTTGAGCAAGCACCATCAAATTGAAGGGAGGATCCAAGATTCTCCTTCTGCTCATTTTCTCTGTTATGCATGTATATGGGAGGGTTGGGGGCAACATAAACTTTGAAAAAAAAGTTTTGAACAACAAAGTTACAAGTATTCTATAAGAGTAGGATTATAGAACAAACAAATCATCTATCTCTTTACTAAGAGACATATGTTTAACAGGATCAATAAGCCTAGAAATTCACTATAGTACTGTAACATACTATTTTACAATATTTAAAAGTTCCCAGATATGTGAAAAATGTATCACACATTAATAACTTATAGCTTCCCGTTCTCCAGAGCCATTCGCCATACTCACTCCAGAGAAGAACTGACAACTAATTGCTAGATGCTTTCCCCCTTCACCTAGGGAAATTCTTCCCTTGAATCCCATGGATCTCTGTGATAGCTTCTGAGTGTGGGAAACAGTAACAAGTTTCCAATGTCAAGGTGATAAGAAACGGATGTGCCTGTTCTATCCTTTTCATCGTAGGGTGTATAGTGACTTTGGAAGTAACATATTGACCAAGTTGAATGTTATAGGTAAAAGTCACCAAATAATTGCTTAAGAGGGTAGGTGTCTTAGGAACATCCATGTCAAACTCCTAGGTGAGTAAACAACAACTTTTATTATAGCAAGCATATTTGAAAATTATCCCTAACTGGGTATTGCTTGAGCTAATAAAAAGAAAATGTTATAAAAAAAAAAAAAGGTGTTTCCCTTTAATAATGTACATAAATATATTATTTCCTTGTCTTACCAAAGTCTTCCTCCCTACTTGGAAAGGTGAGTGCTCCTATTGTAGTTCTCTTTATCACTCTAGGCCCAGATCAAATGTTATCCAGTTCCAATGTATATCCAATGGCATTATTAAAAGTAGATTAAAAGGGCAAACTGCTTAATCTCTTTGAGACAAAGTTTTCTTCCTCAACTAAACTGGAGTAAAATAGACATATTTTCTGCATGCTCTTATAAACCCTGCTTACACCCATAGAGCTTTGCTGCTCAATGTGTGGCCCATAAATCAGCAGCATCTCCATCCCTGGAAACTCTCTGAAAACACAAACTGTCAGGTCCCATTCAGACTCACTGACTCAGAATCTGCTGTTTCACAAGTAACTTGAATGCACATTCAGTTTGGAGCATCTCTATGTCAAAACACTTATCAGTCAGTAGTGTTACAGTTGGTTGAATACAGCTGTCTTCCCTTTTGTGAATTCTTGAGAGAGGGAACCATGTCTCATTCTGCCTTACATACAATGTTTTACATCGCCTTCTTTCAATTCTCCTCCCTGAAGCCCTGTCCTTCACACTATGCAACTAGAACGTTGCTGGTTGAATCAAATTTAACTAATTTACTGAGATAAAAATGACTGAAAATTCCATTTGAATATGTGTCGCTTCTACCCAAGCTAAGTCGATGTCAACACAGATAAAATAAAAAGCACTATCAATAATAGTACCAAAGGGAAATGATTGTACCTCGCTAAGCCTAAGTGTTTGTATCTGTAAAATGAAGACAATAGTTACCTTGCAGAGCTGTTGTGAAGAATATACATTCTGAATGAAAAACACCCTGCAGAGTGATAGAGTAGTGCATTCAAATGATTGCTGCCTTTTTATTTAGATCACAATATACTACTTCTCTGTAAAATAAATTGTTAAAATTTACAGACAATAGAATTTCTCCCTAATTAATAGGCAGCAGTGGGACTTCAGACTAGTATATACTAGAGAGGTCAGTAAATAATTGTCCCTCATTAAAATAAATATTATGTTGGGTACATTTGTTAAAAGCTATTTCAGGAAATCAACCAACATCAAACAACAAGAAGTAGTCAGTCAAGAAAAACTACTGTGACATTAGTGAAGAGTGTCCGACTGCTCCTATTTTATATTTCTCTTC